GGTGGGAGGGGGGGGGCGGGCCCCTCATGACGGAGCCGGGCGCCAATCTTCCCATGCCGCGGGCCCGGCAGCGGCACCGGGCCGTGCCCCCCGCCCCGCCCGCCCCGGTACCTTGAGCGAGCGGGGAGAGCAGGGGGGGATCAGAGCCCGGCCCGGGCCCGTCCCGCCGCTGCCGCCGCCGCCATCTTACACTGAGCCCTGGCCGCGGCCCGAGATCCCGCGAGAGCCGCCGCAAATCCCGCGAGAGCGGCCGGCGGGACGGGAGGAGGCGGCGCCGCGGAGACAGCGGAGGGCAGGGCAACGCCGCCGGCACCCAATGGGAACGCGAGAGGCGCGGCGGCCAAGTCTCGCGAGAGCGCGCCTAGCGGTGGGGCGGGAGAACGAAGAAGCCTCGCGAGATTTCGTGAGGAGTATGGGGGAGGGGAGGCGGTACCTCACGGATCCCGCCTCATACCGGGAGGATGGGGGGGGCTGAAGGTGAAGGCGGGGAAGGCCCTGCCCGCCACAGAGCGGCTCAACCCCCCCGCTCCCCTCGCAGGCCGCGGGCCCCACGCCGTTCCCTCAAGCACCGGCACTCACCGGCACGCTGATGAGAGCGAGATCTCGCGAGGCGCTGGCGGCAGCGCGGCCCCGAAGCCTCGCGAGAGGCGCGCGGAAAGAGAGAGAGAAGCGAGAGCGGCAACGGGAGAGCGACCCCGCCGCGGGAGGGGGAGGGAGGGCGGGGGGAGCGCGGCCGCTGCCTCAGCGGCGGGAACGGCGGCGGCGCGCGCGGCTCTCGCGAGAGCGCCGGCTGAGTGCGGCTCCAAATCTCGCGAGATTGGAGATCGCCCTCCTCGGCTGGAGGACAAGATCTCGGAAGAGCGCTGCCGGAGGGAAGCGCGAGGTCTCGCGAGAGCTGCCCGGCGGCGCGCGCTAAAGGGGGAGTCACGTGACCCCACCCGGGGCATTTTTCGCCAATTCCGGTTTTTTTTCTTTTTTTTTTTTTTTCCTTTTTTTTTCTACAAGTACAAAAGGAGGGGGGCGGGGCCGCGACCTCAGGACACGCCTACAAAACAGGGGCAGCCAATGGGAAGCAGCGCCGCCCCGTCAATCAACCTGAAGACACCTAGGGGAGGGGCAAAAAAA